ATCCAGTGAGCAGTTCAGAGTCTGTTGGTGAGCCTCCTTGCATTCCAGAGGATTCCTTTATTTGCTTCTAGTCTTTCAAATGTAAGGATGATCGGGGGTCCTGTCCCGATGTCCCTCTTTGTTTTAGAGGCTTCATAGACAGTTAGTAGTTCAGTTGTCTTTACATTATCATTCAAATGTTGTTTAAAGACTGAGTTGCCATCTTGGCTAAACTATTATTTCTTAAGTTATGCATGAGTTATATTTTCTTATGTTTAAGTCTTTCGTTTAGTTAAGTAAGCCAGGGCAAGGGTCCGGTTGGGGCCAGCAATGGTCTTCGAGTGCCAGTCCCGCCCAGGGTGTAGGCTCGGGGCGTGACAAGTGAAAACCTAATGCTCTATAAATTAAGCCCTTCAAACCTCTCAGACATTATAATCATTCAAATCTCCTTCCAATAATAATATGAACAAAAACAAATTAACGTCTCTTATTCAAATATATTTTTATCATCGTGTCTTCTTCAACAAAGCTCTTAACTTTTAAGACTTGCGATGGTAAAGTATTTGTACTCGACGAGGCGATAGTCGTAAGGTCACAAGCTATCAAGAATATGGTTGAAGATGATTGTGTTTCAAACGCTATTTCCCTACCTAATGTCCATAGCAAAACAATGACCAAAGTGATCGAATACTGGAAGAAACATTTGGAGGATGGCGTCTCCAAATACATGTTGATGGATTTTGACAAGGCTTTTGTGAATGTGCACCACTCGATTTTGCATGCTTTTATCTTAGCTGCTAATTTTCTTAACGATAAGGAGATATTGGATATGATATGTCAAGAAGTTGCCGATATGATTAAAGGAAAAACACCAGAAGAAATACGTAAAGAATTTGATATCAAGAATGATTTTACTCCAGAGTAAGAAGAGGAGATCTGTAAAGAGAATGATTGGGCTTTTGAATGATTTTATATTTATTTTCAATATCTGTTCTTTTTAATTTCAGAATTAAAATTGTCTAATTAGCTATATCTTATTTTATTTAGTTCTATCTTCTTATGTTCATTTTTATAGAATTTTTATTTGGTTTTTATTAATTTATAAATTTATAAATTATGTTGAAAAGAAATGTAACGACTTTCTTAGTCGTTTTATGAATTTTAATAATTATTTTTATATTAACATTTTTTTAGTAGCTTTTATAAACAATTTATGACATATAAGAATGAGTGACATGATTTTCAGATTTAATAAAGGATTATTTTGTTGATAATAATAGAAAATAAATAAATAAATAAAGAATTAAGGGAAAAAGCCCTAAACTGTTAAAGTCAGCAAAATGGGAAAAAGATAAACAAACGAACGGAAGAGGGTCAAAATTTCAGACGGGAATAAGGAAAAGAAAGGGAGAAAGAGGCGATAACCTATCTAGCCCTATCAACACGAGCACGGTTGGCTTCAGGTAAGGTTGATCTCACGTTTCATATTAGTATTAAGCATTAATAAATATAGAATGCAGAGTAATAGAATTTAGTTGAATTTAATATTGCAAAGTGAAGTGCAACTAATGTTGCTGGATCGTTCTTTTGATGTTTTGGGGAGGAAATTGTTTGATGTCATGATTGGCTAATAATGATTAATATTGAGGTATTGATTAAGTAATAATGGTGTCAGGATGAGATTGAAAAATATAGGGTGCATAGGTTCTATAATCAGTGAATTGATTTGCTTATTCGTAGCTTGACTGTGATATATTGGTATACGTAATTAAATATTAGGCGTATTATATTATATAAATTTTATCAGACTTATGATATTAGAGAAATTAGAACTTAACCCTAGGCTTGAAACTTGGAAAATATGATAATTGAAATGTTAAGTGACATCAAGATTTAGGAACTTGATTATAAACTTGGGTAAATTTTTGGGTCAAAGCTAAACACATAGTAATATGAGTGTTGTTAGTTTTGAAATCTTATTGTGTGTCATTTATTTGAATAGATTGCTTAGAGTTGGAAGTTCAACGAAAGGGGAAGACTCAAGTTTCAGAGTGAATTCTTGATTGATTGAGGCAAGTGGATTTCTAAACCCTTGTTTAAGTGTATGAAATTCGTGTATGTCCTTGTAATATGTGTTTGGGGGTAATGAAACGTGGTGATGGGTTGACTTGTCCACATTGATTAATTCTAATGATGAAAAAGGGGTAATAAAAGGCAATGTGATTAATTGTTTGTGTGTGATGTCTTGAGAATGGCTTGAAAGGCTTGTTGAATCATTGTTGATGTTGTATCATGATTGTGTTGTTGTGAATTGTGCAATGTTATGAAAATGGTCATCTCCTCATTATTTGTGTGAACATGTCATTTGCATTGTTCTGAGACATGATTGTGACAAGTGTTATGTGAATTGAGAAAGAATAAGAAATTAAAGAGGATGTACCATTTCGAGGGACATATCGCGCACCGCGATGGATACTATATTTCGAGGGACGTATCGTGCGCTGCAATGGATACTATATTTCGAGAAACGTATCGCGCGCCGCGATAGTTACTATTATTGAGGGTCGTATCGCGCACCGTGATGGATGCATGGATAGATATGTCCCCCATGGGTCCCGGACTGAGAGACATCGGGTGTGTATCACTAGGTCAGACATGGATCACTATACTTGACATTGCATTCCATTGCATTGCACATATTTATCATTAGTGAACTGGATATTGTGTTTTGTTGATCTTGTGAGTGCCTTTTTGTGGAACTTTGATTGGTGAATATTGAGCTTGTTGTTGAGGATATGTAATTATTAGAGTGTTGTTGTTGAGCTGTGTGCTATGTGAATTATGAACTGTTAGGTTGGGCCGGTTTTAAGCAGGTTGTAGTCGTGGAGATCGTAATTGATGAATATTGAGTTTGTTGTTGAGAATATGTGATTGTTAGAATGTTGTTGTTGAGATATGTGCTATGTGAATTGTGAATTGTTAGTTTGGGCCGATTTTATGCAGGTTGTAGTTGTGAAGGTTCAGTTGGGGTGTAAGGAGTACCCGTATTCTATCCCCTTAGCTTGTCTTTAGAGGTTTACTTGTTGAGTACCGCGTGGTTTGATACTCACCCTTGCTGCTACATTTTTTTTGTAGGTTACTATCCCGGACCTTTGTGATATATCCTCTTCTTTCTGAGGCTTCTTGGAGATTTGTGAGGTAGTGGTTTGTCAACTCAGCAGACCTTCTTACTTTTGTTTATGATCTTGTTCTACTCTAGAAACAATGTCATATGAGACTTGTATTTTTCTTTTGATTCAATTGTAATACTTTAGAGGCTTGTACACGTGACAACCAGATTTTGGGGGGTATTTTTGAGTTTATGATAAGAAAATTCCTCATTTTATTGTAATGGATGAGTTTTAGGTTGACTTGTCTTGGTGGGTTAAGACAAGTGCCATCACATATATTTTTGGGTCGTGACAAGAAATTAAAGCTATTTATATTAAATTTGAAAAAAAAACATTCATCCAAATGGTTAAAAGATGGATTTGATATCTCAAAAAGAAATATCTACATTTAATTTTTTAATAATTTTGAGTTATTTTCATTCAAAGCATATCCAATTGACTTGATATAAAGAAAAATTGTTGGAAGAATGTATAGAAAAAGCGCTATAGTCCGAGTGAGATCCTACTTGGCGCGAATTCAAATCAATTGAACTTTAATGCGGATATTAAACCCTGGATGAAGAAACTAAAAGATATTAATTGGAGGAACGTATATATGTATCATCTTTCATTTTGCGCAATTGCATTTTGCAAGGTGATAGTGGATGAGCATAAAATATTACAATAGAAGAAATCAATTGTTACAATTGTATGAAAAATACTAGTAATATTCCAAAATTTAGGGCAATATTTACTACAGCTTCTCAAGTAAATGTATTACTGACCAAATTCTTATTTAATTAAATGGCTAAATGTATATGTAATGTATCAATGTTTAATAAATACTGTAAGATTGTATATATGTATGATGAATAGCTATGCGTTAGATAAGTATAAATAATCACAAACACAGTTACATAATATTTATACATTATAACGCATCTTCCTCACGAGTTGAATTTTTTTGAATACCGACTAGCTTAAATCTCTTCTAAATAGTTGTAAATTATAGATATGAACAAATCTCAATGTTTCGATTCTTATAGTATATTATATATTCACTAGAAATGATCAATTTAAATTTACGGTAGATCAAATTTTAAAATTTGAGATTCAAAAGCTTTTAATGAATGATTTCTATGGACATCTGATTCAAGTCTCCACTAAACAATCCCAAAATTTAGATATTATTAGCTACTAACAATATTTATATTCTCTAAATATATTATTCACTCAAAATAATGTATAGTTGCGACGGTGTCAAATTTTATTTATTTAAACTTACCAAATTGCCCGAAGAAGATCCGAGTAGACATACACATAATCAGTAAATGATCAAATGGTCATTCTATTGTTTTAGTTTCTCGATTACTTTTATCGGAAATGTAGTCAGACAAAGCGATTTTAATAACTATCAGAAATGAGTTAAGAACTTTCCTTGTCACTTTAAATTATATCATTATCATGATTTAAGACAGAATAGGTAGATTTTAAAAAGCAAATTAATTAAACTTCAGAAAAGGAAAAATAATAAATTTTGGTCAATGTAATATTTAGCTTTCCATATTCCTACCACAACTTTAGAAAGTAATTAAAACCTAATTAATACACTATAAAAGACCAAGCTAGTCTCATGTATTGAAATCATTCATTCATAGAACTTTCTATTTTCTTTGTCGTGTCTTCAGAAAAGCTCATAACTTTCAAGACTACCAATGGTGAGGAATTCACACTCAATGATGTTGTAGTTGTGAGGTTAGAAGTCATCGAGAACATGGTACAAGACTTGAATTTTAATTATAATGTCATCCCCTTGTCTAATGTTAATGGCAAAACAATGACCAAAGTGGTTCAATATTGGAAGAAATTTTTGGAAGAAGGTGTTACGGAAGATCAGTTAAAGAGATTTGATCAGTATTTCTTGAAGATGAGCCAATCAGAATTAGTTGGTGTTCTCTTGGCTGCTAGGCTTTTTATGATAAGTAGTTGAAGGAGGTAATAATCCAAGAATTTGCCGATAGGATCAAAGGGAAAACAATAGAGGAAATACGTGAAGTATTTGGTATCGTGAATGATTATACTCCAGAGGAAGAGGAGGAGGTCCGTAGAGAGAATGCTTGGGCTTTTGAATGATTTTATAATATTTCAGTTATTTCCTTAGCTATATTCTAATTTTATTGTTATTTTATTTCTGTTAGTTTTATCTTCTGTTGTTCCTTTATGAAGAAATATTGCTCGGGTTTGAATGATTTATAAATTATGTTGGAAAGAAATTAAAGCTTGTTATCTTATTTGAGAAAAAAAATATTATCCTTTTAGCTACATTATTCACTCAAATCTCGTCTAAATAGTCCAAAATTATATATATATATATATGAGCAACTTTTGATGTTTTAATTCTTTTAATATATTGTATATTCCCTAGAAATGACTAATTTACATTTGCGACAAATTAAATTACAAATTTGAGGTTGGAGACATTTTAATGACAAATTTCAATAGATATATGACTCAAATAATTTAGATGACATGACCTTCTCCGTTACCCCATACAACTATGATTGGATGATAGAAAAATTAAATGGTTGAAATGGAATTATAGCAATGAAGCTAGCGGATGTGAAGAGGAGAAAAAAGGTTGGATTTACAGCAGTCTAATGTACATTAACAATTGAAGAAGTAAAGACAATTTTTTGTTAAAAATAGAATAAGAAATAAATAAAAATAAATTAAAAAATAATTGGCACATGGTAGGTAATAGTTGGTGTGTGTATGC